GAGGTGCCCAGTCAGCTGCAGGAATGTTCTGGGGAGCCAAAGGACAATGTTTGCACTTAAAATGTGTGGGAACCTTTAGAGGGAAAGCTCGGAATTGGAAAGAAATTCAGAGGGGGAGGGAACTGGAGGCTTTTCCTGAACTGAATTAAATAGTAAGGACAATTTCTCAGGGTGTGATTCCTTCTCCTCTGCTTGTTCCTTTTCAGCTGGAACATGAATGCTCCAAAACACCCAAAACTGAGCCTGAATTTCACCTGCAAATCAAAAGCAGGAGAGAAAGAAAATGAGAAAACCACCACGATGCTGCAGAATAATTTTAATGGGAAGGGAAAGAACAAAAGTGCTAAAATAACAGCACGAAGGGCACAGCTCCAGGTGCAGATTTTGACACTTTCAGCATAAAATCGTGGAATTTGGGTTGGAAAGGACCTTGAAGATCATCTAGAACACGGGAAGAGACACCTTCCACCAGCCCAGGTTGCTCCAAGCCCTGTCCAACCCGACCTTGGACACTTCCAGGGATGGGGCAGCCACGATTTTTCCTGGACAGCTTTTTATACCACGTAAACTTCTACATGCAAATGACAAATTGAATGAAATCCAGTTTTCCCTTTTGTTTGAATGAAATACAGGGAGAAGATGAGCTTTTTTTTTCCTGCCTTGAAAGCGAAAGCCAGAAGCAAAGGAAAAAGGAAAAGTGGTTTTCCTGCTGACTAATTCTCAATAAACACCAGGACCAGTCCAGTCAGGTCTGTCAGTGAAAGGGTTTGTCACCTCTCAGGTGACCACCCCTGTGGGGCTCCTGACACAGCAGCTGTGTCAGGAACCTTTGTTTTGTGAGGAAAGACACGGAAAAAGAACAAACTGATGCCGAGAATCAGATTTCAAAGGTTGTGTCATCCCAAATCAGGATAAAGGGCACTTAATTCCTCTGACAACCTGCTTGATAAAGGGGGAAAAAAAACCACCTTAAAACCTTCAGCTACAGCCTGATTTCCAGGAGCCAGAGGTGAATGTGCTCTGGAGGGGCTGCAGGAGCCTACGAGGTTTCACTGGGTGGCTCTTCCAAGGCCTCTCTGTCCTTCCCTGCATCCAGAGTTCCAGGTTCTGGCTCATCCTTCTCTGGAACCTGCTCCTCGCTGTCGCCCTCGGCCCTCTGGGAGCTGCAGGGCTGGATCTGGGA